TCTTTCCCTTGAAATGCCTCTTAGCTTGTTTTTGGTTTTAATTACCAAGCCTACCAGAATAATTGCACAAGGCTGATATCTGCTCAATAGCCTATTTCTCCTTTGACAGAGTTTGTATTGGAAGGAAAATTTTGCCTCTCTTGATACTGTCCTCTGTCAGTTATGCAAGGCAATATTCTTAGCAGACTGGAAATTCCTTCCTGATCTTCATGGGAGCAAGGGTAGTGTGTGAAGAGTGTTATCACATGGGAATCGACCCAGAGTTGGTCACTGGATCTTGGTTTCAGCGAATGTCAGTGCTGTGGCTTCCAGTAAAGGTGCCAGTCCTTTTTGTAGCTGTGTAGTAACACATCAAAGTGGAAGTTTACTTTTTGGTTTTGGGAGCTTGTGATCCTGTGATGGTGAAGCCAGCGGCACAACATTCCTGGTTTTCCTTCTTTTAGCTAGCCCACAGTTATTTGTTGTTCCTTTCCTGCCTCACAGCACTTAATGGGCTCTTATTTTATTCCATGCTGCTTAAAAGGCAACTGCAGCCCTCAGGTTAATACTAACACTTGTGATGATTCTGCTCTGGGGTAAGAGCTCCTTCCCTGGGACATTGCTGGGACTGCACTTATGGATGCTCTTCCACATAACTTTTCACAGGAATTCACAGTCCTCTTACCTGAACATCCTCCAACATTTTCAGTGTCCTATCTGTCTAAAACGGGGTTAGGTCTGGGCAGAGGATGGATGTGTTTGAAGAGACATACACTGGAATACTATCTTAGTGAGGGTGTTTAACTCAGTACTTACATTTCCAGACACTCACTATTGGTTTTGCTGCAAGTAATGTCCTGGGTAAAGCAGAATCAAGTCTTCCTGACATTTCTTTCCTTGTGTTTCTCTGTAGGCAGAGAACACTTTCCTGGCAGGTGGTGTAGTACTGAGGCCTTTGCAGTACTGATTACTTCCTTTTCTAAAATGTCTAGAAGTGGAACAATATTTTTAAAACCCAATCAACATCAGATAATGAAAATAACACCTCCAAAGTCACACTAGTGGCATCCTCATTTATGGTCAAATATTTTTTTTAAAGAATGGAGCTTCAGGGACTTGTGGAGCTGCAGGCGAAGTGGAAATTTGTAATTACTGTATTCCTCAAGCAGGATTCAAATATGAGCACCATCTACAGGCTTTCTCTTTCAGTACACAATATTTCTTTGCTTATCATAGAATCATAGGATCATAAAGGTTGGAAAGGACCTTTAAGATCATTGGGTCCAACCTGCAGCCCTATACCACCTTAACACTAAACCATCTCCTGAAGTGCCACATCCAGCTGTTTTTCAAACACGTCCAGGTATGGTGACTCCACCACCTCCCTCAGCAACCCATTCCAATGCTTCACCACCCTTTCGGTGAAGAAGTTTTTTTAATATCCAATCCAAACTTCCCCATGCGCAACTTGAACCTGTTCCCTCTTGTCCTGTTGCTATTCACTAGGGAGAAAAGGCCAACACCTGGCTCACTACAGCTGCCTTTCAGGTAGTTGTAGAAAGCCTGATTCCTCCTTCAGGAAACATATGTTTCACCATAGCAGTTTCAATATTGAACAATATGGTGAAGTACATGTTGTATGCCCGGCTTGCGCTACTCCTGCTCTCATCCAAAACATGCTTGAGAAATTATGTACTGGAAGTGGAAGTTGCAGAAAGTATGAAGAACAATTGCGGTCTGTGTTGAGAAACTTGAACATACAGTAAAGCTCTCTGACCTCAGATGCTTTGTCTGCTCTCTTCAGAGAATGCTTTGTCTTAAAGGCCTTTGTTTCTTCATTAATATGTATAGATTTTGTCCCAGATTTGTCTGTCAGACTCCTCTGAGGAGCATTGTCTGCTCCCGTGGATCCCAGGGTCGGGATGCCTTCCCACCGTGTCTGGTGTAGTCTGGTCTGACAGCTCATTCGGCTTGACTGCACCCTCCTTTTCGGTTCCCGCGCCAGCCCCAGGCTTGGGCTATCCTTGTGCTCAGAGTCCCTTGTTGCTCTGCAAGTCTCTGGGAAGGCAACCCCTGTGGCATCGGCCATGGGGGCTGGAAATGGGAGGGGGCTCCCTGGGAAGCTGGTTTCTGCTGGGTGCTCATGCCCAAATTCTTCACTTGCTCTCTGCACTTTTGGTAGAGCAGTGCCAACCACCACTGCAAGCCAAAATTACTTCGTATTTTGGGGGCCACAAATAAAATGAAGCTAATCTGGATCTTTTTCTTCCTATCTTTTGCAGTCTAACACAGTCTCTGGTGAGCTGGCCTTAAAAGGTGAGGCCAGACAGGGTGGTGTGTCCCCTGGCTCTACAGACAGCACCCAGACGACTTTCCAGTCCCCAGGGTGTAACTCCAACAAAAGAGAAATGCAGGAGAATGACCTTTTTAAGGCTGAGTTTATCCTGATTACGGACTCGGGTGATGAAGAAGAAGTAGCTGCTGCCTCGAACAACATTCATCGGCCTTCCAATGGCTACGGTCCCATCAGTGCTCAGCTGCTGGCCACATCTCACATTTCCCCTGGCACCGGGGCAGGGAAACCTCTTGGTGAAGGGCATGTTCCAGGCACTGGGCTTACCCACAGCACTGCTGGTCTGCAAAAACAACAGGTAACCTCTGTTTTAAACTCCAGAGTTAACCTTGGCTTTCTACATCTTTCAGGACGTGGACACTGAATCAGTTTGTAAAGCAGCTTGGCCAATTTAATTAGCATTTCTTTGTTGGCCGTTCCTGTAATGTTTGGACTCTAAGGAGTTGTCCCAACCCTTCTGACGTGCTGCCTTTCCCAGTTGCTCTGGTATATATATGAAGCAGGTAATGCAGGTCTATTATTCTTTCCTTTTAGAGCAGCTCATCATGACAGCAAGTTAATCAGAAAGTGTTAGATTGCTAGCTAATCTAAATTGGTTGCCGTCATTGAAAACAATGGAGCCTGTAGATAATTTGAATTATTAACGTCAGAATTGCCAGGCCTAGTTTTGGTGGTTTTTTTTTTCTCAGAACTCACTCACTGCATTCCTTTATGCTAAAGAAGGAGACTGTAAAATTTTCCTATTTTTCTGATTGTTAGCACTGACATTAAACAGCCGTAATGAACTAATGAAGGTGAAAGGTCCATTTTATGTTGATATTTATAGGGCACATTTTTTGTTTTATTTAAATTTTAAATGGTCACTGTGAGAATTCAGAAAATGGTCTTTGAAATGTTTTGTTTTCAAAATACATCAATACTGTCTGAAAAGTTAACGTTTCCCATCTTGGAAAAAGCACTGATTGTTTTCAAGGGTGTATATGCAGTGGAAAACTCTACCTTCAGGAAAACATCAACATCCTTTTTACATGGAATATTTTTGGACGTTTCCACTGATCTAGTCAGGGCTTCCATCAGTTAAAAGTTCAATTCTTCATCAATACTTTAGAAAAAAAAAAAAGTTAAACGTGGCTACTTTGTCTCTGATAACGAATAGGACTTCCATCTTGTGTTGAAATACTTGTGCTACTCAATTTTTTATCAAATTCTGTGGCAATTTTTGACTGAGGAAATTGTGAATTAGAAATCCACTCTGGTTTGGGATCCACAGCATCATGAAATATTCATTTCTTCTGTGAAACTCCCAGTGAAGTCAGGGAGAATTTTACATGAGGAAAGTGTAAAGATACAGATAAATCTATGTAGAGGAAGCAGCCTGTGAAAGATTAATTGTCCTAGGGAAATACAAATTTACTCCAGCAATGTTCAGCATGTAGATTACAACAGGTTTACTTGGATGTTTTCTTTAAAAGATATTACAGAGATAGGGTCCGTTTTTTGTAAGACTATATGGAAAAATTTAAGTGCTGTAGCATCTTAAGCTTTTAATGACTTGAGAAATAAACAGAGATTTGCCTAGTAAAGTAATAGAAAAATATATATTGCACAGAACAAGGAATTAAAGTCAAACTTTACCAACTATTCACCTGAAGGTGATGTAGTATGTGGTATGAGTAATGCATATCTCATCATTATTCATAAGTCACGGGTTTTCAGGGCTGTAAGTACTTCCTCAGTCTTCATTATCTATCTCTGCCTGTCTCTATCACTTAATAAAAGGGTGTTTTTCCAAAGCTACCTTTGACTGATGTTGGAATTCTCCTTTAATATTTCCTTAGGCATCACTCTTTCTGTCTTATTATCTAGTGAAGCATCATCAGTTCAGAAATACAAAAAGATTAAATAGATGCATTATTTATCCATTTGTAGGTTTCCTTTGTACAAAGGGTTACATATATGTTCATATAATATTCCTTATTATGTTCATTTAAAAGCATAACCAGACTGTGGGTTTCCTGTCAGAGGTGAGAAAAACAAGGATGAGCATTGGGGAGCATTTTATTGAACAGGAGATGACTCTGACTGATCCGAAGGATTCCTACAGTTTCATTCAAAAGAGTGGTGAGGCACTGGAACAGGCTGCCCAGGAGAGTGGTGGAGTCACCATCCCTGAAGATATTCAAAAAGTATGTAGATGTGGAACTTCAGGATATAGTTTAGTACTCATGGTAGTATTAGGTTTATGGTTGGAGCTGGTGATCTTAGAGGTCTTTTCAAACCTTCGTGATTCTATGATTCACTTCTGACTTTGTTTAAATGAAAGAAAAACAAGAAAATATTGAGAAAAATGGAAGGTTCTGTTGTTCTTTGTGGTGTGAAGGTCCTGACTGATGTTGGAAAATGCCATGCTATATTCAAAGTATGAAAAAAACCATTTAGTTAAAAAAACCCCAGTTATTCTGGTCTGGTTATATGGTTATATCTGGAAATTTCTGGTGCTAGTTTACTGTGCTTTTTTTTTTTCTTTTAATGTTAAAGAATGTCTAGCCAAACACAAACAAAGACAAACTCCTGCCCTTAAGAGTTTACCCTTTGGGGTGAGTGGGATATCTGCTCCACTGAATGCCAAAAGATGAACTCGGAGAAACTTCTTGACTCACCATGGGGGATCAGTGGCCAGAAGGCTTTTTTTAGCTAGTCAGTCACTTGACATTCCTCTGCCCAGTGCATATCATCTAGTCTGGCTTTTCCAGACATATCAGTCAAGAGTTCCTACAAACTCCTGGCACTGCAAGGAGGAATGCATGTTCCATGTTGGGAGACACCAAATTATTCTGAATGTCATCTATATTAATTAGAATTCAGCTCATAATCTGATTTACTGTACTATCTCCAGAGATTTTTTCAAGTTATCCACAGTCTCCAGTACTTCTTTCTGATCTTCTGGTTCTCAAGTTGCAGGCTTGGTATGGTTGTATTTTTTTTTCTTTCTATAATCAAATTCCACTGAGATCAAAGCACAGTTGACTAGCACCAGGACCAGGTCTACACCAAGCCGTATCTTTTCTCAGACATAATTTTTGCCTTTTGGACTCTTAATTTGTCACACACTTTCCCTTTTCCTGTTTGACCAGCGTATCTGTCAAAGCCTCGATGGTATAAGTAACCACATTTTTGTGCCCTTCCAAAAACAATGTGATCTCACCAGAAAGACAGCTTGCGTTGTGTCCAGGTCAGCTCTGCCATTTGAAATGTGCTGAAAGTCTGCTGGGTAAGGCTTAATACTAAGACTATAACCTCTCTGATATTTTTGCAATCATCATCTATGAGACATCAAGACTAAGTGCTAAGGTAACCTTGCCACCTATTTCAACTATGTTTACATATTTTTGGGAAACGTATATGTGAAGTGCTCCTGAGAAGAGAAGAAGTCCTCAAGGTTGGATCACAAGCCAAAGGAACAAAGCCACTTCAGTTACTCACTTCCTCTGCCCTAATTCAGTACAACTACAGAAGTGTTTTAAACCAGTAGAGAAACTGAACGGGAAAAAAAAAAAAGAAAAGGCAAACCAAATTTCATTGATCGAGGGAATCTTAAGCAGTCACTCACCCCCAAATTCAAGAGAGATGTGAAGAAAGGAATGAGGGTCCAGCACAAAGCTAAAAATGTGGCTGAGGCACATGTAAGCTGAGGCTGAGGTAGATAGCTTTGTAGACTCTCACCAAGAGGCAGCCAAGGAGATTGCCCACAACTACTTGAAGAGCAGTTACAAGCATGAAAGAGATGTCCCAGGCAGACATCTGGAGGAGTTTCCTGACTGGGAGGTGGAGCAGCACTGACACGGGCTGTCCAGGGGTTGCTGGAGCCACCTCTGTTAGGGGCTTTAGAGACTTGGTGAGACATGGCCACAGCTGACTTGACCCACTGGTGTTGGTGAGAGCCCTGCTTTGAGTAGGAGGCTGGACTAAATGACCCCCAGAAGTCACTTCCAACAAACTTTGATTGTGATTCTATGATCCTGTAAATAAGAGAGTAATCTTCTATAGATGCAGTTAATACTGTAATACAACAGCAAAATCTCTTCAGAAGACTTGAATAAAGGCTCGATTAGTTCACTGGTGTTCAGACTAGAGGAAGACTACTGCAAAATGTCTTTATCATATTTGCAGGAGCATATTTATCATCTGTTACCATGAACACTTTCCTTGCTGCTTGTAAATCTCTCTTATTAAGTTTTACTAATCAGAAATCATTGCACATCCTGCTCTTTCATTATGGAGTTTCACATCATTCCTCATTTTCCTTCAATCCATTGTTTTTGTAAGGGAATTTTTTCTATTCCATTTTGAATTCTCCACTTTTTTTGGTAGTTGATCAGCTTCCAGAGCTCATTATTAAATTCAGGAGGCCGATCCAAATTACCAAATATATTACTGTGCTGCTTTTTAACTTGTTAAATAGATTTATATTTCATTACTTATTTAATACTATTTTTTTAGAATGCCTAAAATCTTGGTAAATTATTCTCAATTTCCAGTATTTTTTCTTATTCTTAATTAATAGCTTTTTCACAAGAGTCATAACTTCTTAATACAGTAGAATACATGGTATAATAATATAATGGATATTAATTTATATATTCTAATATTTACCCTGCATACATCCATTGTTTTTCCACTTCAAAATGGAACACCTTAACGTATGTATAAAATAAGGAGAAGTTAGTGTGATTGTAAAGGCATTCGATAGCTGGTGTTTATTTCTATAAATCAAGGCATTCCCTTGGCTTTTCTGAAGGTATCTTATACAGAAAGTGTCTTCAGTTTACAAGGCTTGCTATTTATATGATATCACTTAGCAGGAAGAGATACAAGGGCTAATAGGGTTCTGATGTGCACGTTTAGTCTATACTTAGCTTTTTAGTTACTCTTTAGCCCTTAAAAGCCTTTAAGTCTTGCTCTTCTGTCACAGCTTCTTCTATCACGTGCTCTCACTTGAAAATTTTTTGTTCTTATTTTTTGATTTTGTGATGTGCAAATATTATATGATATAGTCATAATCATCATATTTCCTCTTTCTTATGGAAGAAACATTTGTACTAAAATATATAATTCATATTTTGAGCCACAGCCATGTGCAAGTCATGTATGTAGAAACTGAATTGTATAGTCTTTTATAGTAGAATTATGTCATCTTGTCAGGGCATCAAATGGTACATAAATAGGTTTTCTTATATTTATATGAACTTTGTAGGGATTAGAGCCAATTTCTTTGCTTTCAAATTGCTCAGTCAAAAG